AGTTTGGGTTTGAATAATACGAGGTTTATTTTTTATTTTTTTGGTTTAGGAAGATATCCAAAATTTAGCTGCCGGAACTGGTGAAAAAGGGGGCGACTTGGTAAGAAATTTAAGAGAATTAACATCTGTACAGAGAAAAATTGCAGATTTGCAAGTGGAACTTCAGGGCCGGAAGGTGATGTATCGACATTTCCACCCATCCTTCAAAGCAATTAGGAAATTTCTGTTTGATCTTTAAATTGGAAAGCAAATGGAGGTTTTTTACCCGCTTGCGCTCTTACCGGTTGCTGAACGGTGTATGACTGCTGGAAGGAATGTCTAATTTGAGAAGATTTATAGTAATTTCTAGGTTTGTAATGCAATTGCACTGGTTGCACTGGCTTCGCTGCATAAACTAAATGCTGTCAACCAAGCCAAATATGTTTGATGTATAGGAGCATAGCTCTATTTTAAATCAATATGAGCTAGATACTTTTGTCCAAACAAGTTAGTATACAATGCAGTAGCGCGCATTCTGGATCCAGGCAGAGGGACACTCGTAAGAACAATAAGCATGTATGTTTCCTTGTACAGCCAGTTCCAATGATCATTTTCCATATTTTCGTCATTACTTTCTGGGAAATTAATAGTGCTTGCACTGTGATACTTAAGCAGCATGCATAAAGAAGTGCCTTACTGCGTATAATGTGCATGTGTATGCACAGACGAGTCTTTTCCCATTGAAAGAGCTCGCTAAGTTCGTATGTCATACACCATATAATTTTGATCCATTGCTCATTTAATTTTTTATACAATTATATAAATTGCACATAAATGATTAACTGTAATTAGTTCACTCCCTTAGCACCTTCCAATAATTGCGATTTTCACATTGTTTTTATTCAGATGTTCTACTTGGCTTGATGACAGTAAAAATGCATTTTGAATAGTTTATTGATGGGAAATGTGTGGTTAAAAAATAAGGAAATTTTTTTAATTTGCATGTAATATTATTTTATTGAAGAATATGTAGTTGAAATAATATCAAAACACTGTCTAAGAAAGCAATTATTTTCCAAAGAATGGGGCTCAAACAAGGGCATAGTAAGCTTAGTTGGCCAGATATCTTTCTTGGCGAATTCATGTTATTGTCTGTGAAAATTCTAGGAGGACAACAATGTAGCTCATCTGACGCACGTAAGTGAAATGGAAAAGAAGATTGAGACTTTGGCTCGGATCACGACTATATTGAAAGATGTTATCCAGAATAAGGTACTTCCCGAATTAGAAATGTTGCCTAAAGTTTATGCCGTGCATTGAATTGATGTTAGATACTTTACTTTAGTATTTAACTATGATAAGAGTTGCCTTGTGGTCATATATAAACATATTCACCACACATAAGCTGGCAGTCTGCATGAAGAAGATTTGTCAAAAGTAAGAATTGGAACAAAAATAACTAAGAAGGCTAGCCAAAGACAGATTTTGAATTATTATGCACTGGTATTGTGTTCATGGCAGAAGAAATAACTCCATATCGGTGGCCTGTGGAAAATATATTCTCTAATGCTGATCCTTTCGTTTTTTTTTTCTTGATTCTTGAGGCTTGTGTTCATTGAACCTTAAATGATATGTCTCTTAGCTGATGTGTTTGACTTCTTGCTTTGTAGGATAGGATTATAGCTCGCCTCCAACAACCTTATTCATTAGACTGCATTCCCGTGGAAGCAAAATATCAGGTATGTTATTCAGTGAGATAAATCTAATCAGTTTCCCTTGCAGTAAAAGCTTATGCTTACACACACATTTGTGTGTGTTGCACATTGCCAAGTTTACTTCACAATTTGAACTTGCTAGAAGAAACTTGCATTTACCTACAAAATATTTAATTATGTAAATGTGTGGTTGAAAATTAGTATGCAAATTAAAGAGTTTTGTTTTGAAAGGAGACGAGCAGGGACTATATATCAACGCTCAAATTCATTAGCATCATTACTTTTGTATACTACACATGTAATATAAAGGTAATATCATGTTCTCCCCTGTTCTAAGTTGGGTGACTACAGATGTGAACGATTCCAAATTGTATCGAGCACACTCTACAAGTGAATTGGATAATTTCATGGAAAGATTAATAATATTTCTTCATCTTCTAGGGTTACCTTTATATTACACCACCATGCCTCAGAATTTCTTCAAGGGCTGCCTGCCCTCCAAGCCGTGAAAGATTGTGATGTATCACATCTCTTTTACAACTTCCTGGTGCTGCAGACCCCATCTTTTCATCACTTCAAATTTTCTGTTGAAAGACAAGTCCTTGTATTTTTAACTATGACTAGAAAATACCACAATTTTTTACTTGAAAGAATAATGTCTGTTTTCGAAATTTTCGCTCACTAGTTTAACCTTCAACATCACCTAAGTATTGTTGTGTTATTTTGAATATTACTTAGAGTAAGTGAGAGATACTCATGTCTATCTTGAATTTGTGCAGAAACAATTTTCAGAGATATTAATGAAGGCAGCAAGTGATTATGGTGCCTTGACAGCTTCTGTGGCTGATTTTCAATGGAGTCAGAACTTTAAAGAACCACCTACAGTATGGGGGGTATGTTAAACTGGAGAGGCCATATTTTCTTTGATGACTTCTGCTTGCATCCTCAGCTGTCAACCCACCCTACCCCAAATGAAAAACCACAAACATATGCACCCAAAAAAGCGCACACATGAAGATATTGTGTGTTATTTCTGCTCAGAAGCATAATTTCGTTATACAGATCTATCCCATCTTCAAAATCTTATATAGAGCCTGTTTGTCATTGTTTCAAATTTTAAATTGTTTGCTATAATATCATTCTCCACCATACATGTACACAATAAAATATTTTACACATTCTTCCAAAAATACTATTCAAAACTCTTTAATTTTTCAAATAATGGATGACAAACAGGGCTATAGTGTTACCTTTTAATTTGTTCCTTCTTCATTGCTAGTGCAATACATCTCGATATCAAGTGTGATCTTGTACTGAAATGCTTGCACTACTAAGCCAGAATTGTTTTGGCAGTAAACCATTTAAATATTTCTTAAGTCGTGTGGAAGGAGTGGATTGTTAAGTGGTGACTATAATGTATCTTGGTATAGGTTGACAACCTCATGTTTATTTGTCAAGCTATACGCCTAAGGTCTGCCTGATTTGCTGCTGGCAGACAGTAGCTTAGAGAGTGAATGAAAAAGAAGAGATAGTGAAAAATGGTGCAACTCTGTACACAATGAGTTGGGAGAGTTCTTTGTCATCAATGTTCATAAGTTCATGTAATTTTTGAATGTGAATATTATCATTACTTTGCTAGATGCAGCTGAAATTGTAGAAATTCATAATATTTGAATTCACGTAGAATTTTGAAATACAAGTGCCGTGAATGGATTCAGTTGCTGAGACCACGTTGACAACTAAAAATTTCTCTAATTTCTGTGTTTTGTTTAGAAGTCTATTAACAATAGATGCACCAAGTGGGAACTCTATAACACCAACATGTTCTCCTTTTTCCGCTGCTGTTGTATGTATTTTTTTTATTCCTCCCATTTTTTGCAACACTTGTGAAGTTGTCAACGTTTTACTGATTGTTAGGCAAAATAATGCATTTTGTTGCATTAATGCACCTTAACCATATCTCATGATCTTTAGGAAATGCTCCGTCCGATTCCTGTTGCTTTAGCATCATGCACTCGATTCTTCGAAGCCATGACAGTAATAAGAGAATCATTTGCCAAACTTCAAACTCTGAGAGTTGGCCATTCCTTTGAAAGAGTCTCTGGAGATTCCAACTGTGTAACTCCTCCACCTTGGAGGAATGAATCAAGCTTTGATGATTTAGCCATTGGACGTGCGAGAAGGCAAGGAACCGAGCAGCTAGAAGGGGACGATTTGAGTAATGAAGTCGGGGATTCAAATCTGGTTAATGGCACAAGTCTTAGGAGACTGTCCTGGCCTCCAGTGAAGAAAAATGGACTTTAGAAACCCACTCCACCCCACGTTAATTTACAGAGAAACGAAAAATGGAAACCGTTTGCCGTATTTGTGGAATATCTCACTATGATTTGCATTTGATAATGGTGTTTATATCTGTTGTAATTACATTTCTCTGCTAGTTCATTTAATCAGTCTTTTGCGTGTTAAAAAAAGGACACTGGGAGCAAGAAAAAATTGCCATGTGATGTATTTCTTTATAATGGGCTTCGGAAATTTGCAAAGGGAAGAGTTCATATTTCAGGCTTTAAGTTTACCTCTATTCAAAAATCAAGTAAATACTTTTAAAATTCAAAAATTAGGTACATATTTAATTAATTAAAAAAATTATTAAATATAAATAATAAAGTCATAGTTACACGATTAATAGTCACATATTCATAATTTAGGTTACAGATTTATTTACTGGTCACATATCGACAAACTAATTGATCAAATGATTATTTCGTAATCAAAAATAAAAAATTTTGTAAGTCACATATTATTTCGAGGTCACAGATCATTCAAATTACAAGTCACATATGTCACAGTTTATCGGTCACAAATGATTTTGGTCACAATTTTCAAATTTTAAGTTTGAATTGGTCACGGGTGATCAAATAGTTGGTCACAGATCAAATATTAGGTCATATTTTATGCCACCACTACCACTTTCCACCACACTCACGCCACCCCTGTCGTCGGCCACCATCTCGTTGTCGACACTAACAATCTACCACTACCATCAATTCCATTACCAACAAGAACCACCCAATTCTCTCGACACAACCAAAACAAGACCACCACCACCACTCCAACCAAAAAAACACAACAATCAGAATCACCACTACCCCAAAACTGTACCACAACCACCACTACAGATCCACCTCCACCGCCTCCAGAAATCACCATAATAGCCACCACCACCTCCATAGTCACAGAATCACCGCCACCACCAAACAGTCAAACCAACACCACCCATATCCCACACCAATCCATCCACAACCACCGTCGCCACTTCCAC